CAAACATTAAAAGAGCGTCGTGAATTTGCTATGATTTCTTTCGTAAACGATATCGTATCACATCGCATTGATTCTATAGAACTATTGTCATCCTTAAATTTATATACACCATCTAGGCCTTTACGAAATAGAAATATATTTGCTACAAATCGTCATCGTACGAATTATGCCAAATTTGGACCCTTGAACCAAATGATGGATACATATAATAAGCACTGCGATAACATTGACTTTACAATGACAAAAACCAAATTAAAGCAATATTTTAATTCCTCGCATAACGTCAACTAGAATTAATGATTTAACTTGTTCTCAAGACATATTATAAAAATATATAAATAAAGACAAAATTGTAAAAATAGCTCTTAAGACAACAATTGTAAAACGGTCTACACTGATTGACGACAAATAAATAAACTAGCGCTACGTAGTGAGAAAATTATGGACTACTGTCCACCAACGAAAAAGCTAAGATCACTTAAACAATTTTGCCGAAGACAGTAACTATCTATCTGATCATGATCTCGAGATAATCCATGTTGCAACACATTAAGTCAAATCCTACGTAGTATGGACATTGTTTACGCGGTTTTCATTTACATTTTCCTTATTATCCTGAATTTTTGGGGGTTTACAGCAATCCAAGTTTAGCTTGTTTAGTTTTTTGAGGAATATTCGTTGGTTTCAGATCGATTGATAGCTTGGAAGCAACATGGCAATGGAAAACTCACACTGTTGTACAAAGTACAAGGCGCGAGTTCTCGTGTTACACAAATTGGCGCGAGTAACGAAAGGTTAAAACGTGGCTCCCATCGTTGATTTTGAATTTCAAAACAAACGGTCTGTGATGATGGTCGAATCGTAGCAGAGGTAACGGTGGCTCCCAGTTCATCGTTGTTAGAAAATGGCAATTTAGCGGGAATAATTTTTTTACACAGTTTTTGTTCATTTAAAGGGAATAGTGTCTTCGTAGAAGTTTTTAATAATTTAATGGGCCTTCATCTTTAAAAAAAAATGCGATTTGGTTTCCGAGGTGGTAACATTCTTCAGGAAAGTGGTAGAAAAAAAAAAATTCAAGCAACTTAGCAGAAAAAATAATTTATCTATCGCTTTTTCTGTGTTAGCTGACTTATAACAATGCAAATGCTATGCAAGTCATATGTTGTAATCGGGATACTCGTATATAACATCCCAAGTAACACATAAAACATCTTTTTGAAAAACAATTAGAACGGCTTGTTGTATAAATGTATTATAAGAGATGCAGAAAACATCCCACGTTATATATGAGGTTTAGAGATGTTTTTTCATACTTCTTTGATTCAACATTTTCCAAAATAGTTTTCTTTTGCTTTTATCTCTAAATGTTATTTGAACGTGCATCTTACTGTTTTAATACCACTTTAAAATTTGTCGTATACAAAATCAATTCAGATTGACGTTAAACATTAAGTAAGTATTAGTGATTCTTTGCGTTAGTCATTACAAAGTATTTTCAACTTCTTTATGACAAGCCGTGTTGCTTGGGATGTATTTGTTATAAGTTAGGTAACACAATAGAAGCGATAGATAATTTATGTTTTCAGCTAAGTTGCTTGATTTTTTCTTTCATCTTTAAACAATCCAAGTTGGTTTTATGAGGGTTCTGTAGACCGTAGAATGCTTATAACCCTCAATAAAACTTGCGTTACTTGGGAAAAGCGCCTTTTTTTTTTTTTACTGTTTTTGTTTTAAATGTTTTGAAAAAGTGCTCTTCAGAAGAGTTATAGAGATAATAATAACACACAATATTACTGAATAAAGTATTTGGGTAAAACTTAACATTCAAAATATCTGGGTAATTTTAACCTAAAAACATGCAGTCTTCAAACGATAATATCTCAAGTAGTTGTATAGATAATATAATTCTTGATATGGCTTCTGAAAGGTCACACATAACGAAAAAAACTATTGGCTAAAACTGACATAACATCTGTTTTTAAAATGGACAAAATAAGCTTTAAAAATGCCTAAAATTCAAAAAGCATGTGCAACCCATAAATGCCTGAATATAGCATCTTGCTGCCTTTAGCAAAAAATGTAGGCTTAAACTAGTTCTAGAAGTTATCCTGATGTACTTTAAAACAAAAAAAGATAGAACAGAAATTTGCAAAAAAAAAGCAGGAATTGACTCTAGCATGGTCAAATGAAGGGCTCAATACACGGTGTCTTCAGCAAAGTTGCTTAAAATAATATTCGTACTATGATTGGAAATTTTGATTAGGGTGATCTTGATTTAAAATTCACATCAAAATTTTAAATTTCTTTATTGAAGCTTGATGGTTTTATTCTTCAGATATTTTTATTTTATTTTAAAGACACAGAATGTCTTGCTAATTGTTTGACCATACTAAAGCATTTTCTGCATTTATAAGGATGCCACTATTTTTTTTTTATTCTTACTTTTTTGTTTTACATATCATCAAAAAGTAATGCAAGGAAGGCTTTAAGAACTAATTGAAGCCTACATTATACAGGAGTTTGTGTTTTACTCGTAATCTTATAATTAATTTAATCCATTAAAAACAAAGTTGTTCTTGCAGTTTTAACCAAAAATGTTGTGTTTTGTCATTGTCAAAGTCATATCAAGAAAAATACTACATGAGATATTAACATTTGTAGGCTGCATTTTTTTTTTGTATTATAATAACCCATAACTTTTCAATATAATATGGTCGTTGAACGACTTTTCAAATAATTGTGTATAATCAATCTGACCTTATTTTCCGATGTCAGCACATGCCTGTAAATTCATTAAACCTAGAAAATTATCTTACGAAAGTCACTGATTAAATGTCAGCAGATAATGAACACAATTCATTCTCCCTTTTTTATATGCTTTGCGTGCAGTGGTATCATCTTATAAATATCATTCTACAACCAATAGAACATTCTCGATAAAGAACTGTGCAACATCTTCAAAGTGCACTACAATGAGGGCAGGAAAAACAATCGCGAAAGAATCGTCAAATAGCCACGAAAAAGAAGATTATTCATTTTACCATCAGACTCATTAAAAACAGATATGAGACCCATTCATTGATAGAGATCGTCCTCTGTATCAGGAAAATGAAGTCCAAACAGCTTCATTGGCTAGCTCACGGAAAAGCATAAGTAGCTTATTGAATTGCAAATGACTGCAATGCTACCAACCACGAATCAGAACTGAAACTCTTGCCATACGTTGATGGTTTTAAACGAACGATAGAAGAAAAAAAAACTACACAAATTGGTATATTTCATTATCCTACTACTTTACGCGGCAGGCAAGCTAGACACGTACGGAGGAGAAACGAGAAGCAGCGAAGTTCATCAAAGCAGATAGTGGTTGGCGAATCTTCGTCGTCGTTGACGCCGTCCCGTCCGTCGGTCGTCATCATTGAATCGAAAAATGAGAAAGATCCGCAATTGCTGATAATACCCACCGCAGAGCACCAGTTACCGACCTGTCGTGGCCGGGCAGCAGCATCGTGATGCTCTATGTTCTGAAGTATTGCGCATTGGAAAAGGAAAGGAACAGGAAAGCACTAAACCCGGTGAAATGATGGAGCGAGCGTGGGAGACACTAATGGCAAGGTAAACAGAAGCAAACAGTCTGAAGCTTGCCGGGTGGGGCCGGGATCAAGTTCTGCCGAAGTGTTGTATCGATTTACGTGAAGTGGAATTGGAATGTGCTTTCCAGCTTCATTGGGGTGCAATTTAGAGGGAACACTTAGGTAGATATAAGAAGATACTTAATTTAAAGTTGTATTTTAAGTTTACATTTGTCCAAATGAGTACAGTCAGGACTTCTAGAAGGCGTCTCATTGAATTCACCAAGCAGAATCTCACGGACACTACAGCAGCGTATAAATTAATAGGATTTTGACAGTTCTTACAGTAATGCACATGCAACTTTTATACAATACAGATTGAGAAGACTTAGGGAGTTGTGGTTAGCTTCTAGATTAATTAGGTGGATAATATCGATTGAAATATTGAGAACAGGTCTCTTATGTGGGCTCATGTTACTTAAAGGTCAACCTGTTGAACTCGTCTAACACTATGAGCTTGTACTATTGGATTAAGGCTTGAATTGAGATCTGTGGACAGTTAACTCATGAAGTTTGTTGAATCATCTGACACTCTGACAATAAGCCACTCGTCATTTCTCCCATCATTTTAATGAACCGTAAATCATTCTGTAAAACATCGCTTCTGTTTGTATGTTCGGATGCGCTCAGCACTCAAATAAATTAAACACTGTAAATTATGGAAAACTGTCACATCACAGAGGACATTCTTTCTTCTAGACTCGGGGTTGCAAATTGGCACATGTGCGTATTTTGTTGGCATTTGTCGTGATGCTGCCTTCCGAGCGTCAGACAAAATAGCTCAGCAATTAATACTGCTTGTTCTGCATCACACCACAGTCAGTCGGGTTACTTTACATGACTTTTCCCTGCTCCGCTCCCCGTGAACAGATGGGTTTGCAAAATAAGCAAATGTACTAGAGTTGAAAAATTAGCCGTAATGGAAAATAAACATTTTCCCTGGATGCAAATCGACGAGGAAGCAACTTGCCACACACGTTCCGTCTCAACTTTCTCTGCCCTGTTCGATGATGATGTGTTGAACGTTTCGATGGTTTAAATAATTAACGGGACCGACCGCAGCGTTTTTCGCACTTTTAAGTCGCGGTCTGACGGTAATATATCTGAGAGAGGAAGTTCAGCTCCGGTCATAATTCAGAGGCAAAATTATAAACACATTTTCCAACGTGCTTCTGCCAACCAACCAACGGCAACGCACCGAGCAATGCAATTAGTAACGACCACAGGAAGTGGCGTGGCAACCATCGTAAAACTTTTTCTCCCGATTGCCAAAATACACCATGCATTCCATGCCTTACCTTACCTTTTGCAGGAGATGGATCACAACGATGTAGAAACTAATAAACTTTTGTATCTTTTCTCATGCAGGTCCCGTGATTGGCAACTTCACCGACGAAGAAACGAACGGAAATTCAATCTCGCAGGAAAATTCTATCGAATATCCGCTGCAGCGAGATGAAGTGCAAACGACCAACAAAGGCGAGCGAAACCATGTTACGCAAAGTAAGTTTCGGTTATTATCTACAAGCATACCTTTTTTGTGGTCCTGACAGATGGTATAGTTTGTGTTTAAAATTGCACTGTTGTATTGCAAGACGAGGCTCGGTAGCTTAGTGGTTACCATTTCTGCTTACTGAGCAGAAGGTCGATAGTTCAATCTCATACCCATCCCTTACTTGTTATTTGTCACTATACCTAATTATGATCTATCCTAATTAGATTTAAATAAACAAATCTGCTTTACCGATCGATTGCATCATTACCTACCATAGTGAATCCAGATCAAAAATAACCTTACCCTCACTAACACAACTTTCCTTTCAATGACAATCATAGAGATGCAGAGGTAAACACGATCTCTATCACAGGTTGTCATACTAATCATGCTTCCCCTTTCCAAAAGACCATGTGGACGTGGTGCCGTTGCTGATCTTTAAATGCACAGCAAAAAATAAACTTTAATATTACTCCCAAGAGGATACATTTCAATCATGTCGAAAATCTCATGCAATTTTTATGGTCATAAAAATAAATAAATGCAGTAAAAGTAGCGACCATGAATTAATGATAATTTCGTCCTTTTTGGCAAGTAACATTACACCATATTTCTGACACGATTGAAGTGCATCCACTTTGATGTGATATTAAAATTATTTTTTCACTGTGTAGCTTGAATTAGCACATTGCACATTGAAGATGGATAAGCTAATCTCAAGCGCTGCGCAATTCCACTTGTTTTTATCAGAAGAGGAGTAGTAACTGCGATATCCACGCTCTTTTAAAAAAAATCACTGTTGTATTGCACAAAGTAACTGTATGCGTTCGACACTATAATATGCTGTATGGGAAAACACATGTTTTCCAATTGATACCTCAAAAATTTCATAGAAACCTGAAATACCATAGTTGAAGATGCTACAGGGTGCGTGACGAATTTTTGCAGTAAATTTCAAATAGTAATTTCTCATGCTTGTGCATCATGATTTAGATATATTTGGCAGCACTGGATAGCTTATACTGTTAGGTGTAAGATTTAAACAAACAATGTTGAGTAAACGTAAAGATGTTGAAACAAGAGAGCAATCTGTCAGCCGTTGTCGCTTTGTTGCGCGCCGGAGTATGCATGAAAGAAATAATTCGGTCGGTAAATGTGTCTGAAAGAACAGTGTATAATATTAAAAAAGGCTTGGGAAAGTTATAAGACGGAGCACCTGCTCATACTGCTAATAAAGCACAGAAATGGCTTACGGAAAATATTTCGTAAATTTGGGAGGAAGAAATTTGACCCCCAAGCAGTCTCGATATCAATCCGTTGGATTATTTTGTATAGGGCGTCGTCCAACGGGATACCAATAGAACCCCTCACACCACACTTAAGTCACTAAAAGCTAAAATCAAGGCAGTGATGACATCTATGGATCGAAACATTTTAAAACGTGCATACTGCAGTTTCCGGAAGCGTCTAACTACAGTCGTCGAAAGAGAAGGCAATTTTTTTGAATAAATTTACTTACAACTTCCATATGTTGCGAAAGAAAATAAATCGCACAAAATTCATTGCTAGAATAACTAACTGGTGTATTTTTTTTTTCTCAAATATGCCATTTACTGCAAAAATTCGTCACGCACCCTGTAATTTCAAATAACAGACTGTAGTGGTAATTTTTATACGATAGATGGAGTAGATGAAAGCATAGAGTTGATAGTTCCATTAGAGTACGGCAGTGTGAAAATTGCATATAGATAGTAGAATAGCGAGCTAGGACAACTTTTAAGGAAGGTAAAAATCGGTTTTTTCATCTCTCTTTACCAAACTCCCCCTTTGGAGAGGGATGGTGAGGGGTGATCTGGCTTCTCCGAATCTGGTGGGATGGTTTGCGCCAATCGTACCAATGGCGCCGTGTACGTCGAACATGCTTATTGTGCAGATTGCACTCGATAATGACCATGCATCAGAACCCTAGTCTTAACCACTTCAAACTAGGGAACAACGAATAGAAGATTAGGAATCACATAGATAAAGACTAACTTACTCATTTTTTCCTTGTTTCAAGATCATCCTCGGTGGACAAAGCCGAGTCTTGTCACTATCAACAAGGCATAAAAAGTAACAAGGACTAAGATGTGTTCCTTGGATTACTGAAAAATTCTGTTCCCCTAGTTTTAAGTAGTCAGTGGAATTGATGGTAGATCTTACATCCCGTAACGTACCACAAAAAGGTGATCTACCAACGTTACGGGGCAACTCATTTATTTACTTCTGTCCATAATTTAATTCCGGTCCTAAAAGTGAAAATACGTTCCTATGGAATACAGCCAAAACGTTGGGCTTTAGAAGTACGATGAAATCAGATGGATTGGCAGATATATAAAATTTCAGTTGTGGATCACAGCTGCTACTTGAATAATATCCTTATTTGAGTAATTAATTATTATTTTTTCGACAACATCTCACGAGCAAGAATCTTTTTTTTATTATAGTTATAGAAAATTAAACGTTGAACCTTTATTTTTCATTATTTTAAAACACACTTTCCATTCATGAACGTCACAGTCATGTTCTTCTTCTAAGCATTTGAAGCTTATTGTTTAACGCATATTAGCTTATTGCGTGCTCTCAACTTAGTGTTCTAAATGCACTTCCACAGTTATTAATTGAGAGCTTTCGATGCATTAACTGTTAACGAAACTGTCATCTATCGTCATCAAACCCAAAGTTCAAAATCAATTTGGAAACCAAAGTAATTTTTTTTTAAATCTCGAAAATCCAGGGTTGTAGCCCAGAAGGATCTGGGTATTTTAGAATAAAATCAAAAACGGTGTTTGTTCAGAATGCCAAAATAAGCATTTTGGCCAATTTTGGCTCAAATCGGTGACATCGACCACAACTTTTTATAAATTCTGTACCCATTTTACCTGGAATGATCCTTATATGTGCTGTAAGAAATTGTAATCGCTGTAATTTGAAACGATTGGGGAACCGGGGGTTAAATGAACAATTATCTCACTTTAGCATTGATTCTTTGAACTTAATTGATTAATATTTTGATGGAAAAGCACATCAAAACGTCAATTGTTTATTTTACTTCTGGTGAATATCATTATAAATCACAGATAAAACCGATAAATTACTTAGTGATGACAAGCAATTTAAATTTCGACCCACCTGAAAACTGGTGTACATCAGATATCATAATATTATATATTCACGATATTTGAAGAGTGTGTCTATAGAGAATGTCAACTATGGGTAAAAACCAACAAGGAAGATCATTACACAGAAATTGTCGCAATATAGATAGGAATTTGTATGGCAATATCAAGGGACCAGTAGAAATGCCGCTATAGAGAGATTTGTCGTTATAAATATTGTCGTTTTATAGAACTTCGACTGTAGCTGGCAAAACATTCATATTTTGCAAACTGATATAGCCGTAGCTTAGCTGTATTTATCAAAAAAGGAGATTTCTTGAGTTGTGCTTAACAGAATGCATTGTATTTTAAAGGAATACATGTTTTCAATTCGATGTCTAGACACGTACAACGTGCAACAACACAAGCAGAATTTAAGAAACACTGCATTTCACAAGCTAGAACTGTTGTCCAGTGATTTTTTTTTATGAATTTACAAATGTTATATCTTAACGAAACGGATCATTCTGTAGAGATAGCTGTCATAAAGACTTTTTTAATGATGATTGCACCACTGCAAAAACTATTTTGGTCGCCACGATGGTGTTGATAGATTTTTGATATTTGATTTAATAGCAAAAGTAAAAACAAATTCTGAGTAATCTGCAAAGGCCTTGCGCGTGTAATACGGATATAAAAAGAGGACTGAAATTATCATTTGATAAAAAAAACATGCAACTTGGAAGCTTATTGGGAAGATGTTTGGAGTTACTAGTAAGATTTGTGGCTAAATGTCGGGGATCTTTTACATTCCCGACGTTGCTGAAAATTATGATAGCATCATAAAATGAGAGGTTGCTAGTGCATAGGATGCTTTGTTGATTGTACATAATTTCTTGATCGCTTGTTATACTTATTAATATTTTTGGTTCGCAAAAAGGTGAACTAAGAGGTGGATGCCTAACCTTTTTCACATTTATATCGCTGTGAAGCAACTGTACACTCTAGAGAGAATTCTGTAACTGTAACTGTAACCAGTTTGATTTTGTTTGCTAATCTGGTTTAAATGTTATATTTAATAATCTTAGGGGTGGGGCCGCCCCCGCCGTAGTGGTTAACATCCATACCTCTCACGCCAAAGTCACGAGCTCAAATCCCACCCCCATACAAGTCACGAATGACCCAAGAGTGTTAAAGTGAATATAAAAAAAAAACTTAGGGGTTAGAGGTGGGACCATCATCGTCATCATTCCTCATTTAGATTTAAATTTCCAACCGCTACCCAATAACAAGTGATGAAAGTTCTCAAATGACAATGGTGATTCTAATAGACTTTTGTAAATTTTTATAGATCAGTGGTTAATTTTTTATAGAATGTAGTGATTTTTTTTTAATAAAAAATTTCATTTATAATTATTAATCAATTTTTTAGGTCGGTTCCTTACAGTTTTTATTTAAGAGTCGAGTCTTACCAATTAAAGAAATTGAAAAAAAAATATTAAATAATATAAAAATCTTGAAAATTTAAGAAGTTTGCATGATTGCAAAAAAAAATCATGTTGTTATGAGGGTCCCGATTTCTCCCAGTTTTTATTGGAGCTTTTGAAAATCATTTTTAAAAAACTGCTAGAAATCTATGTTGGCATAGCAAGTTCTAAATTAAAAACTGTGAAATTGCATCTAAGTTTAAGTTGAAAGCCACCTAGAAGAAGATGACGACGAAGAAGCAGTAGTATTTATGAATATGTACACGGCCGTTCAACCTCACACAGAGCATGATTCATTACAATGTTTTCTACGAAAATCGAGTGATTTTCAATTCTTTTTTTTTATTAGTATAGTCACTTTAACGCTCTTGGGTCATTCGTGACTAATCTGGGGGTGAGATTTGAACTCGTGACTTTGGCGTGAGTGGTATGGATGCTAACCACTACGCCGGAGTCACCCCCGATTTTGAATTCTAAAACGATGATTTTTCATGATGTTCAAGGCATTTCCCAAATAATAGCGGTATAAAACGCCTGATTCATGGTACAATATGCACCACAACATAGAGGTAAAAGCACGACACCAATGGACAAAACGTACCACAACATTGGGGTAAAATGCACCTCTTGAATGAAGTATACCATAACCTGCAAGTAGAAAATACAAAGGCAAGAGATTATTTCAAATTATTTATCCTTTATTTTACATCAAAAAAATGGTATGTTTAAATGTTATTCATAAAGTAAAACATCTACAAAATAAACAAAAAGTAAATTCGTTCGTTTCTTTTGTGCATTATGGACTGTTCTCCCCAACAGAAGTAGCCATAATTGCATTTTATCTACAACCTTTTGAAGTCATGGACCGCATCCAACAGCAACAGTTCTCTTGGGATTTCCGGTGAGATAGGTCGAGTGAAGGACACTCAGAATGTGAACATTTCATTGGCGTCAGGATCAAAGCACATAAAATAGATGGACACTACCTTTTCACCGGGGCGCAAAGATCAAATATCTTACACTAATTTGCATTTATTATATCCATCATCAATTATTCAAATTATCACATACTTTGCACCACATCGATCAATAACCTAATGCTATATATGCATCTACCGTCATATACATTACAGCTGTGCATTAGGGTGCTTCATTAAAAAAAAAACCGTTAAATTTCTAATAAACCACACTCCAGTTGGACTCATAACCCTAAAATATTATTCTTCTTCTTATTCGCATCTGCAGCTTATTACGCAGCGCATATTAACTTATTGCGTGCTCTCAACTTAGTGTTCTAAATGCACTTCTACAGCTATTGATTGAGAGCTTTCGATGCCAATACCAATGCTTGAATTTGTATATTGCGTGACTAGCACAATGATACTCTATGCCCAGGGAAGTCGAGAAAATTTTCAACCCGAAAGATTCCCTCGACCGGACCGGGAATCGAACCCGCCGCCTCCGGCTTGGTAATACCATGCATTTACTGACAAGGCTATGAGGTCGCCCTAACCTTAACCCTAAAATATGCGTCAGTGCAATAAATGGTAAAGATTTGGAGAAATACTATGACCAATTATTGAATTTCACTTACATTGCTCTAACTTTCGTTCTAGTTATACAAACGTTGATAAAAATTACCGTCAAGCCTATTGTTGTTGTAATGAAATTGGTGTAGTTGGATGGCACATATTCAACTACCAATTAACCTTATTATGACATTTTTTCTCATCTTTATCATCCATTAATTTGCTGTCAAACTGACCGCAACAACAACAACAAGTCTTGTTGACCATTGTCATAGCAACCAGGTATTCATTTTTTCAGCATTAGGATGACAAGCACCAAAGTAAGAGGGATATAAATGAAATATAAAATGCTTCCATGGTTATTCCCATACAAATTTCAATCCATTTGCACGACCTCTACACGTTCATCAATATTTACCATGTTTGTTTGGCCTATATGAAGTCTAAGCCTTTTTCTTTTTACGAACCACCCTACTGTACATTTACCGTATCCTGGTAGTGCGGGCTAACCTTCGAAGATGCCCGATTTATTAGCAAAAACGACAGGCAGCCTCTGCTCGTTTGGCGTCGGTATCATTTGTTCGATGATGTAGAGAAGCTGTAAACATTTCCTATCAATAATAGAATAGCCTGGAGACTTGTGTGAGTGTGTGTGTAGAAATAGTGGTTTGCAGCACATGCTTTCTACCTAGAAGAAGAAAATTAATCGTGATACTTGATGCATGTTGCTACTTTGCATATACAGTGGTGGCCTTTAAATTAGCACAATAGGCCGATTTTCATACAAACTAGCCAACTTTGGCTTGTTGCAACTATGTTTTGTTATGATAAATTGAGGTGAAATTTTGACACAGAACTAGAAATATGCTGAATTTTGCGTGTACTTAATATTTATTGGAAGCGCTTGTCGGAAATTGATGGGCTGGTTGAAAATGGCCAACTAATTCGCACATTTATAATTCGAAATTTCCGAAATCTATTATTGCGGAAATTTTTGACCATATCGTAAATAACATTCTTAAGCACGCCGTCGTCACCACTTTAAAATGACTTCCCCATTTTGGTGTGAGGTTTGAAGAACTTTAAATTTGCCCTCTAATTTGGTTACTTTAGTCGGATTCGATCATTTTGTAGTAATACGATACTGATTGATGTGTAATATAAGCAGAGAATTTTTGAAGCAAACGCACATTAACATTAACAAATTAGTTATGGCGACCACTGGGACTTGATGGGAGCTGCTTAACTTACTCTAACTACTACGATGTTTGCTACTCGACGTTTCGGCCATGGGTTGAAAAAGATCAAGTAATAAATTGATTAATATGCATTGCAAAATAGCTTTCAATATTGTGATAAAGGATAAAACATACAAATATTACACTGAACCCTTCCACTGTACGAAAATGTATACAGTAATGACACGATTTTGTCAGTCCCCTTTTGAAAATCATTCCTAATGCTCTACGAAACCCATGCGTTTTTGCAGTGGTCCAATTGCACAAATATTAAACATTGATCTTGAAGATTAATGAGAAAAATTGGAATTATGGTTACGATAAATTATTGAAAGTCTGATCCGCGGGGCTGACAAAAGTGAGTCATTACTGTATCTCATTATATTGGCTGTCATTTGCAATGCAAATTAATTTAACTCACGTCCAGCTCGGCTCTGTTATTAAACGGGCATATTGAAGCCACCATCGATCGTTGTTCTTGGCGAGAATCTCGCACTTCTCATCTTGATCTTCTGTTCATTTAATACACACGCACCGCCAAATGACGTGACACAACGCATATCTTTCACTTACCGAGCCGTTCCGGTTTTTGTTATTTTTGCAGTAATCTCGCCCAAGCCTATCGACCAGGAGCCGGAGCCGCACTTTGTCGGCGTCATCATCGCGGTGCTGACCACCATTATCCTGCTGCTGATTGTCATCATCCTGTTCATCGTGGCCAAGAACAAACGCACCCGAACGGCGGCCGTCCTCGACGCACTGCAGCACAATTTGCATACCGACAGTCTGGGGATTGATAAGCGGCTGAATAGCAATTTCAAGGTAAGTTCTCATTTTAGAGACATTTTTTCAGAATTGAACTAGGGTGAACCTTTTTTTTATCTAGTTCGTTTATTTCGAAGGCTCAATCGCGTTAGATTTACGGAGCCGATAGTTCATAATTGTTCTTTGTTTGTAACAAAATTCTCTGTCTAGTAGGAGTTGGGCCGAATACTCGCGGCTTACTCGAGGTTAGAGAGGTACATTGTCGAAGGATAGGATCAGGGGAGGAGCTTGGGGGTAAGGTTTCGTTGTCTCATCAGAGCGTTGTCGCCAGTATTAACGGTAGTGCGGTTCTAGTTTCGTCTGGAGTTCGACCGGCTATGGTGACCAGTGGGCTAGGGTGAACCTGAACGTATAGTGTTTAATAAATCTTTTGTTTCTAATTCCTCGTGATAGTAGTTTTCATGTTACTTTTAGAACTTGTTCAAATGCATTACATGCACGCTACATCCTTTTTTAAACTGTCTAAAAATAGCACGAATTCTGTTTGCAAAGCCATGTTTATAAAATGAGATAATTAATGTAGATAATTGGTCCATGCAGATAGGTACAACATAAGAAAAGAAAGAAGGGGTAATATCATAGAGATAATTCTAAGACCAGAAGGTCCCGAAGAAACATGTTCAACTTTTTGGCTCAGCTCTGGTACTATCTTCGGTCCCAAGCAAATCGATGCACCCCTCGAAACATAAGAAAATCCACGAACCCCTTATTTTATCTGTCATACCTTCATAGCGAATCGAAACAAACAAAGTGTAGTACTAGAATTTCGACTAGAATGGGGTGCGTTAATCGATTTGCTTGGGACCAATAGGCTAGTCAAGTAGTGAGCCAATTTAATATCGTTAGTTTCCACCGGTTGGTAATATGATCCCACCAAAAAGTATAAACCAGCCTTATGAAAGCCTTGATGTTTCCTTTTCGAATAAAATGCAAACATTAGACGTGTTGAGATTTGTCATTCAAGAGTTTAATTAAATTATTGTTTTCCTCAAAACTGTTCGAGTCCCTAGTTCACAAGGACAGGGTTGCCAGGTTTTTTGAGAAAAAGTCTTTACCCAAGCAACACAAAAGTTCATTAACAAATTATATATCACCTTTGTATGACTAGTTTTGGTTATAAAGAAGTTAACTGAACATAATGACATGAAATTTTGTTCCTCGGTTAGCGAGATCGAAAAAAATGTCTTCACATGTCTTCGTTGCTTCTTGTCAATTTGTATGGCGGGTTTTCAATTTACACTTCCTTTAATAAGGTACTCAGGTACGTAGGTATTTTGCTACGTATTTGTTTCAAACACTGTATAATAAAAGTTTACGTAAAGTTACAACATTTTCCAAAGTTCACGCTGTATAATCATGACTTATTTTCTCAGAATTGAGCGGGCCAAATTTTGAAAATAAAGTTATAACAAAACTTTTAATCTATATTCATTCAGAAAATTTAATAAAAATTTGGTAGTTACCATTTAGAAAATATTGTAAATCAATAAAATCGTGATTAAAGTCATCGGGTCATCCTAGAGTACAAAGTATGGCAAATCTCTTTGCCATAGTTTTTCACGAGCAAAACTTCTGTGGACTTTTACTGCTCCTCATCATTCTTGCACTTTTTAATTAAATTCATTTATTTGATAGGCGACATTTGACGCAAGAAAACTTTATGTACTCGTGTGACATTGAATGCAAAAAAAAAGTATTCAAATACGGATTATCTTCATTCTAGGCGGCGCGCGTCTTGCAAAGGAAACATTTATCCTTATTACCGTCATACAATATTTCCCCCTTCCGATTGAGGAAATATAGCAAGGTGGGAATCTCATTTTTCATATCCATGTATACTAGACTGGCCCACAAAAATAAAAGTTCTAATTTTGCACGGGACAACCTCTAGATTTGTGCTATTAGATGAGAAAACCATTCTCTGAAGTTCTAGCTCATTTGGTTGCAAGATGAGCTGGCACTTTTAGCTTGAATTTTGTATGGGGAATTTGGATTAAATACAAGAAAAAATGACACTCCTACACGCTATCAATCATAAAAAAATTTCCTTAATCTCGATTTGATTCAGATTTTCAAAACTTGTAGTTCAAGCAATGAGTAACAACTTTGCTGAAAAATGCATTAAGAATCCGGTTAGTTTTATTGAGATATTCGCTTTTGAATGTATATGAAAAATTTTTATATGAAAATTTCAACCAATTCATCTATATAAACAATAAACCAAAAGCACCAGCCCGTGTTACGTCAAAAACAGCTTAAAAATTCAGAGAGTGGTTATCTCACCTACTGATACGAGTCTGGATGTTAGCCTGTGGAAAATATGAACTTTTATTTTTTTTTTTAGTGGTAATCTACCCGAGCAAAGTTCAGCATCAAAATGACAGCAAATTGAAATCAAGTTTTGATATCAACATCAAACTGAAATCATAATTTGATTTCAGTTTACGCAATTAACAAATTTGGTATCTAATATTGTTTTCATTTTGCTGTACATTTGCTCATCAGAAATATGTTGTTGCGGGTTCGTTTTCGTTACCTTAGCATAACAACAAATTGAATACTTGTTTTGTTATCAACAGGAAACATTGATATCAAATTTAGTTTTCAGTTTGCTCTCACTGATAGCAGAAATAGTTTTCAATGTGATGTCACAGAAAGAATTGTTTGCTCTCAATTGTGATATTTTAACCATTAAAACGACCACAACGACAGCAACCTGAGCAATCATTATCAGCGAAATCACAACATCAAATTTAGATTTCAATTTGATCTCAGACTTTGCTCGGGTAGTTGATACGTTGCATCAGCTGCCTGTATTTTGTTGCAATATGCTAACTAAAAGCATATGTAAATTTAAAAATTAATATTTCCATAATACCAAATTGAATCGTGATGCTCTCTTGAGTAAAGTTGTTCCTTATACTTTAAGCTACGTATGCTAAAATTCTGAGCTTAATCGAGCTTGCTGAACCAGTTCTATGTGCGAAAGAGTGTAGGAATGTTATTTCTCCAAACATTTTCTCCATATAAATTTGTATTCAAAAGCACCAGCTCGTGTAACATCAGAATGAGCTGAAATTTTCAGAGAGTGATATTCTCCCCTCACCTAAAAATATACAAAAAATCTCCCATATAAATGTGGGCCAGTCTAATGTATACCCCATGAATACCTGGATTCCTGTCGGAGCACAGTTCAGCAGAGAATTTCTCCCGGATGACACGCTAAACGTTTCCACATTTCCCCAACACTAACCCTAGGTCATTGTCAGGAACCTCCGGCAGTAATTCATACACAAACACATATTGCGACTAAGCGTATCCATAAGCCTTTCCATTCGCATAATGGAAAATTAACCCTTCCGATTTAAAATTTAAGCATGGAGCATCGATTATTCGAATTTAAACATTATGAAAAATCAATTTTCCGATCAGGTTCGCGTCTAGCTATTGCACGAAATTGACCATTTAGTCCATGTTTGGTTTTCCACTTCCATTGCTGAAGCTGAACTTAATGATATTCCGTTTTATATATAGAAGGAGAGAAGATAGTTTTCCGAATTTTCCAATTTTCCTTTTTTTTTTGCTGTAAAATGCTTCTTGGTCAGAGATGAACACAACAAAAGCAATACACCTGAAAACACAAGAAAAAAAGCAAATCCTTCTATTATTTTTTATACTAAAAAATATTCATTAAAATAATAAAGATAAAATACAAAATTTAAAACCAATAAAAAAAAATTAAAGATAAAGGTAAAAATCTTGTTCAGGCTAAATATAATAATTTATCATAACGAAATCGAGGTAAAGTACCACGTACTCAAATGAATAAATAAGAAACTATAGTTAACTTTAAAAAAAAAAACATAATTCTATATATATATATATATATATATATATCTACCTAAAAAAAATTACTCTGAATAACATTCTTAAAAATAAAATACTTGAATATTTAGCTAAAAAATTAATGCAAATCCTCCTCTTCTATATTCAACATAAAATCCAGAAACTAATTCAGGTTCTCATTCAGCAAAATCAAAAGGAGTACGATAAGTTTCAGCTAAACATGAAGAAAATCAAACTTATCCAAAAAAAAATACTACAAATCAAACATATTTTTTATCAAATAAAAAAAAATATAATTACCAATTTCAAAAAATAAAACTTAATAAAATTAAAGCTAAACTTACTTCATATGAAAAAGTTTGAGCAACTGCTCGTAAACCTCCTAATAAAGCAAAATTTTAATTAGAAGATCAACCAGCCAGTATAACAGTATAAACCCCTAATCTTTTAATTCATAAAAAAATAAAAACTGCTAAATTAAATTAAAATAATTTATTTGAATAAGGTAAACATATTCAAATAAAAAACGATTAAAATAAAGAAAAAAAATGAGAAATACAATAAAAAAAAATAATTTGATTATAAAGGATAAGTTTGTTCCTTAGTAAACAACTTTACAGCATATCTAAAAGGCTGTAATAGCCCTATAAATCTTACTTTATTTGGCCTTTCGTATTTGTTTTTTGTTTATGGATTCCATGGTTAATAGACAATGAACGAAACACGTTTTTATATTTTTCTTTGAAAATTTAGGTTTTTCTGCACAACATTTAAAAAAAATCAGCGATGCATTTTTCTTCGTTTTTCAGTCACGATTTTTTTTAAATTATCATGTTTAGAAATTTTGCTCATTACTCCAATACGACTAGATTGCCCTGCGTCTCCATTGATACATATCGAATGTAACCTGGTTACATTACTTACTTATTTCAATTTCTGATCTTTGACTATAAATTTCTAAACATGATGATTAAAAAAATCGAAACTTAAAAACGAAGAAAAATACATCGCTGATTTTTTTATATGTTGTGAAGAAAAACCTAAATTTTACATACATCGCTGATTTTTTGATGTGGTGTGTAGAAAAACCTAAATTTTCAAATAAAAATATAAAAACGTGCTACGCCCATTATCTACAAACAATGAAAACAATCAAAGTTCTTCTATACAAAACTCCAATTTATAAAACTTTTTATATTTTTTTCTGAAAAGTATTTTTAATAACCTTTGATATTTTGATCATTCAAATCGGTCCAGTGGTTCAAAAGTTATGATTTTTTTTTAAATGTCATTTTTGGAAAAAAAAACGATTTTTTTGGCCATCCTAACATGGAAATGGTCACCCTGATGAGAAAATAAAAAAAACGGGTCTAATATTTTTCGATAAGGAACAAAACTACCTTTTGTTAAGAAATTTTGAAAACTACTATATCGTTTTGCTATGGAATGGCTGTACATAAATATAAATATAGATATTATTATTATTAAAAGCAGTGTTCGGAAAATCATCCTTAAGTCTTATTCATTGAGCTGAGTTAACTGAGTGAATAAACTCACGTGTGAATTTGCAAACACTCCTTACGCATTTTCACTCACTCACACTCAAAACGCTCAAAGACTCATTCCATCTCAAATCTCATAAAATCTGCAAATGAATGTTTTGTTAGTTTTCCACCAAATAGTGCAAAATTAATACTTAATAACGTCAAAATATAAAGGTCCTCATGTTCCGAAAAACTCATAATCTCACGCATGAGTTTTTGAGTTTTTACGAACACTGATTAAAAGATATATAAATTTATACACCTTCAAAATCAATCAAAGTCTTTCTCAGCGAGTTGAAAAAAAAAATGTATTGCTGTTATTTACTCACGATACATCCAGGGTTGCTTCCACTCACTTCGTTGAAAAAAAGCGTTTTTTCTTAATTATTAAATTATCAGATGCTGTAAAGATATTTTTATTCGTGAAATCTACAAGAAGAGGTTGTAAGGTATGTATTTGACACATGAAACCGGTAAATTTCGCATTCAGATAGTCACAATCAGCGATCTTATGATTCGTACACTCTGAGTGAAGCAAGCCAAGTGAGTGTAAGCATCCCTAGTTATATCGTCGTGCTGATTATGATATCTGCTTACATGTATACTAATGCGGTTATAGTTAAATCATTTTCTACATCGTTGGGTGAGTAAATAAGCGATACTGATCTTTAAAATTAATGTTTTTCTATAAGAAACACCGTGGATGGTTGGTTGGTTTTCTTTGTTTGATAGCAATGCCTTATGTTCAGTGGATCTCATAAAGAGCTGCTTATTCACTAATTCACCTATTATGAGATGTTTTTTAGAGATCCCCCTTCCCATGCGTAGACAATGGGTCATATTAATAAATACAAATTGTATGGAACACAAGCCAACATCCCCTACCCTGTCTACATGGTTTATGGGTAGCCCTTCAACACATCGGTACTTCTAGACCATCAACTTCCATATGCCAATATTTGAGCCCATTTCTCCTCTAGGGTACATAATAACAATAGACACTGTACATCATAAGTTCTCAAATATTCCAAAGATAGTTAGATACAGTGATGCTGCTGATACATACCACTTTATCCCACCTCATCGTGCCAATCAGTAACAATTTTTCTCCCATTGTCCGTTCTTCGAAGTTTGGCTTCAATCTGCCTTGCCACTGCACTCCATAGCTCATCAGCCAATCAGCACATGGACTTGACAAGATATTCACCCATCATTATCTGCCATAAATCGTTCATTCCAGCGCAAACGTCTCAATTTACATGCTGACGGAATGTGCCACTTCTCATCCCTTCATTCCGCTACCTAAGCTCCCACGCCACATTCCAACCTATCCCTGCTAGAACTGCAATTGCATTGTAAATCATCAGAATGCTGAGCGTTATAATGAGTTTACCCTTTGATGTTGCACTTTGGATGCCTGGCCGACAACGCATTACATCTTCTGCATGTCTGGAATTGACCGGGCCAAGCAAGCTCCACGAACTAGGCTCAGTTCCGCTACATTTTGCAAACATGTCAAATTGTAAGCTGGCGTGGGTGGACGCTGACAGTGTGTACGGTTTTACATCCATTGTCAGTTTCCGACGGACCGCTCCACTGCAATTGAGAGGTTCAGTTAAGTAGGTGCGCATAAGTGGCTGGAACGAGTTTGTCAGCTATCGATATTCTCTGTACAGCAGCACATATTGGATGCGTTGAACTGATTCTGATGGCTGACTAGAACACGTATCCTACCTGTCTTGTTGCCTCGTTTACGGTCGATTGGTGGTTCGTGATGGTCATGCTCATCTGCACCTCGGTTTACCACGGTATCATAATTCAGATAAAATGGCGTTAATTTCACCAGGCCATGATTCTAGTTTTATCATAGGAGTGATAAGAATCTCGTCAGAGGAAGCGGAGGTGCAGCTCTCAACATGATTGACGTGTGCGAACATCATCTCGTCGATTCGTTCGTTTGTGTGGTTTTGCTTTGATGGTTTCCACTGTTAACAAGTTCACTTTTCGTCTTTCTGTTTGCAGGTTTCGATAGACGATAATGAGTCGATTGATAAGAGCAGTTTGTACCACGAGCCGTTCAACGTCAACATGTATACCAGTGCCGCCAGCGGATGCTCGATGAATGACATGCAGCGACATCACATCACGCCGGATTATACAGGTAAGAGACTAAGGGGTTTGCACTGCGAATGAGAAATTCTAGTTTAAAAATACGATTAGGCGCTAAGTTAAATGGAAACGTTTTATTATGAATGCCATTATATATATATATATAAAAAAGTCAGTAATTATGTTAAATGATCTCGTTTTAAATTTATGATTTTATTCCTGGCCTGTTGTTGTAAATAACTAACTTTACTCAAGACAACTTTACATGTTATGTAAAATTAAATACCTAAAACTTAAGTGGTTACATATATGTAAAATCGAAAAAAAAATCGATTTTTCAAAAATGGTCGAATTCAATTAGTATTGGTAAACACGTGTCAGTATTAGTATTAGTATACACGTATTCGCATTATTAAATGCGTGTTGAGGTGAAATAATTGACTTGCAAAGCGTTTTTCTCGAAACACAGAGTTGATTTACGGGGCCCACGATATCTCAGTACTGGCTGAACCAAATTGGCTGAAATTTGGGGTGAAGACTCTTAAGATGTGTCGCGTGTAAAATGAAATAGAATATTTTAAAATTCATTTTTTTTATAAAAACCGGACAATTTTAAATTTGAAAAAAAAAACATAAATATTTTTATCCTCTTTTTAATTAATTTTCCAAAAACAGCCTTCGTCTTGCAGACGGTACCTGTTTAATTAGTCTTCATCCTAAAAATGAGCCAATTTAGTCAAAGCAGTGATGATATATCGTGGGACAAGTTTTTTTTAAAACCACCAACTTCAAATAAGAATATCTCAGTAATTTTGTACCCAAATGTCTTCTTATTTATTTTGTGTACAGTTGAAATTGTATATGTTGATGCCCAAAAAACAAGCAACCGGTTGGAAGTTGCAGGCACAAGTAGTATCAAACGTATTTTCCGCAGATTTTTCCAACATTGAACATCTAGCGTTCAAAATCATACGGGCCTTACTGGGATCAGGCTTGCTTCCACTCATTTGCTATAAAAATGATTTTCTGAATTTTGAAATCATTAGATATTATAATGATATTTTGCACTTGCTAGATACAAGTGTTTGACACATGAAACCTGTCAAATACACTTTCAGATAATCATAATCAGCGATTTTGTGACTCGTGAGCGCTCACTCTTAGTGAAAGCTCGCCAATCATAAAATCGCTGATTGTAACACTCTGAAAGTGAAATTGACAAATTCCATGTGTCAAACACATAGTTTACAACCTCTTTTTTTAACTTGTAAGTACAACATATCATAATAACATGTAATGATTTCATAATTCTGAAAAAACCTTTTTTTATAGCAAGTTAGTGGAAGCAACCCTGATTGGGATGATCGATTCTCTTCTTCGATTTAATCTTTTGTTAATAAATCATCTGGATTACTATTTCTTGGTACATTTGATGTTGCTTTTGCTATTTAATACAACCTTTCACTGTGATAATGTCGGAAAACTAGTTCACTGAAATGTGGTAGTGCGAAGAAAATATCGATGAAGAGAATCGATCATCGCAGTTAGACCCTCATGATTAAGTAAGCGAAACATATTTCTGTATACTGATGTGACAATCGAGACAGATCGAGTTACGAAAGTAAATCGAAAAAATCGAAGTAGGTTGGATATTTATGGAGTTAGGCAGAATATCGAGTATGGGAGAGTTGGCTGTAATTAATTATGTACATATACGCAAAACAAATTGTTGAAGCCAATAATCAAAAGTCTTCTCTATCAGAAGTGGAAAAAAAAACTTAAAATTCGATCAAACTGTTCAGACTACAGTGAGCAACGAGAGTGTCTTATTTCTGATAGATTCAGAAGACTCATCCCATCAACTCCCATCGATATTGAAACTTGGAACCTTCCATCTGGTATTTCGATCGCTGATCCTAACTTCAACTATCCTGGTGAAATTGATTTACTTATTGGGATACAACTTTTCTTCAAGTTGTTGATTTCAGGACAACTCAAGATGTCTGATAATTTGACAATTCTTCAGGAGACGCGCCTAGGATAGGTGGTTTCTGGAGTTATTGAATCTTATTCAACTCGTTCCCAGCAGCAATGTTGCACAGTAGGTGTGCAGTCACTTGTTTGTCCACCGTACAGTCCAAGCCTATCGTTAACTCCCAAGCTCAAATGGTTTAAAACCTGCTAATTTTTACCCAACCAGATCTTCCACTTCTATCCACAATGGATTCTGTGTCAAAACCTTTCGAATTGGGTTATTACTTGGCAAGTAACCTTTCATCTGTTCATAACCAACCGTTGGTTTCCCGTGATCCAAGCAATCAATTGAAAGTGACCAAATTTTCCAGTCGGATACCTGGAATCATAATGCCCTCAAGCCCTCCAACTCTCTCTTTTTGCCTGGCGGGAGAATGTTCGCGCACGAAGCAAACGTTGGTTAATCCGTAGAAAACCTTCACACATGACGGAGAAGTTGGCCAATCTGCTGGGATCCTTCGAGCCAGGGATCGCCACACTCTTCCAAACGTCCGGTCTCGGACATTTGCAGGAACCCGATGGGCTGTCGGAATATTCCCTCGATAACGGCCACCTCCTTCACCTGGAGGATTGGCTGGAATGAGCCTCGGATGGCTCAGCAGGAACTGTATGTAAATTCCCTTCGGTTGAAGGGACTCCTTGGAAATGTAGCGTAATAAATAGCTCGACATTGATTAACACGACATAGCTTTGAAAACGGCTGATTTGTTTTGGCAGTGCAGGAGAATAAAAGTGCAACGACAATCGAATCTGATACGGCGGATTAATATTTCCGGTTCGGTATTCAAAACAAAAATGATGCGCTACTTTTGTTTTTTTTTTCTTTTTTCATGGGATTTTAACCCTAATGGGGTGTTTACACTTATGCTATTTCACCAGCGCTAATGAGCTAGCTGCTAGCAAAAAAGCTCACTAGCATAATGTAAACAGGGCATCAGCGTCTACCAGCATGAAATTTCAGGAGCAACTGAAATTCGTGCTAGTTGGCGAGTACACTAACGTGAGTAAATCCTCACAGATGTAAACACCCCATAAAGGTCATTCATGCCAGCAATGATGCGCTGCGCGCAAACTCATCTTCATTTATACTCTTACTTCTCCAATCAGCGTCACAGCAGACGGAAATCGGTTTACCTTACATTCGGTCCTCGACGTTGTGTTAGAACATGTCCATTAAGCTGGGTTTAGACAGGGTAAGTCAATTGATCAAGTCAGTTGAATTCGTGTAAAGCATGCCATTCAACTGACTTGATCAACTCACTTGAATTGAGAAAAAAAAGTTGAACCAGGCTAAACTTTTCTAGCCAATTGAATTCAGCTGAGTTGATCATTTGACTTGCCTAGTCTAAACCCAGCTTTATCGTAAATGCCATTCAAGCGGAAATCAAAGTTGTCTCACGGTTGAGCAGTGCGTGTTGTATGGACAAGGGCGCTAGTAGGCAAGGGACCTATTACGCGCGGTCGTCTCGGGGTAGCAGGGGTGGGTAAGTCATGTGTTAAAGATGTTCTACGGATTTACCAACGTTCGCTTCGTGCGCGAACACATACATCCAATGTAAGGTTGGATTTATTACATCCTCTGCATATGTTTCATGCAACAAATGTAATAGCAGTTCTTGCAATGGACTGCAGCGTTCAAGCAACTTTTGTCAGAATGCAAATTTTTATATAAAACCTTCACAAGATGATTTTCTAGATGCAATGCATTTGGGGAAACAAACTTTGTTCGAAAAATAAGCTATAAATAAAATTACAATATTTTTTAAACCGTCCGGCGACCAAATTATAGAATCTGTGCATGTCGCAAAACATTGCAAACTCTGTGTACTTTTCATGCAAATCTGTAATCGAATTTTACATTTTCTGGTTGGGTGTACACGCAGAAAAAGTTAATTATATTATCCATGTTTTTGCCAAAACATCAACATTTGGGATACCACATACATCCTATGTGAACACATAAACATAAATGTGCGTGACCATTAATTCGGATTATTTGGGGCTGTTCATAAACTACGTGGACAAATTTTGAGGCGTAGGCAATCGCCCATACATTTTTTATGTTCTGAAATTTGTATGGACCATAGATACTTGCCAACCCCCTTAAAATGTTTACGTGGTTTACTGATGATGAAATCTGAATAAGCATAAATACAAATGAAGGTAAGAGAAACTTACATATTTTGGCCATTTTGGCCTTTCAATAATTTCACATAGCCGTAATTCAAAATCTTTCTAGTGGATGGATGTTTAAGGTATACTTTGGTGTAATAAGACCATTGAAAAAGTACATGGGTTTCGAGGAAAATTAGATAAGAATTCTTAAAAGGGACTAACAAAATCGGGTCATTACTACAAGTGGTTAAAATTCATACTTTACATTTGAAAACCTAGACCCAAAACGAAGACATCATATCAAGACTGGTAACTTTGCGAGAATTCAAGCAACAGATACAGTAACGCTGCACTTAAGCGAAGGTAGAAGCAACGCATAGAAAAATTAGCAAATACATAAACCTTTCTTCTGAGGATGTAATATTTGCTATCAAATTCGTCCGAAGCATTAAACTTAGAGAGGCAGGTGACGCGATTTTACCTGTCTCATAGCGGTCGTACGAGGAACTGGAAGAGCTGCCAGTCTTATTGGTTTGTTGTTTTCGCCCAAAATCCATAAAAATTCGGTCTTCTACGAAATCTGTTAATAAATGTTGCACCATCTTTAGAATTAGCAATCTCTAATCGACTTCCAGTTTTCAAAGATATTTTTTGATATGAAATTTTTTTATCACTATATAGGTATATTTTTCGAGTTTTAAAATCAATTTAAGTTTTAAATTCAACTCGTCCTCTGATACCATTTCAGTTCAATCAAAAGTGTAGATAATTGTGTTCAAATGCTGTGCCCATGGACATACAAACGCCCTTTTAAATTATGAAGCTTGAGCAAAATTGGTCTAAATATCTATGGAAGCTTAATTTTCTCTTAGAAATTATCGCCGACTTCGGTAATTTTTACCAAAATCTGAACAGCTTACAATTCCATTCAATAGCTTTTCAGCTACTTTGAAACTAAATCTCCACTAAAATGACATGATTTGATCATTTAAGCAAGGTTGAACATGTTTTTAAATTTTCAAATTCAATAGCCTTTAATATGAAGGTCAAAGTTTTACAAAGTTCAGCTGTTCTGATTTCGGTAAAATTTACCGAACACGAAAACAAAATCTTAGTGTGTAGGGTAGATGTACCAGTTATAGCTATCCGATCCTATTATGATGCGTTCGAATTATGGCACAAGGGAATCCCATAACCCATAATTGGAAAACACCATAATTGGATCATATTACCGAAACTGGTATACCCATCCTACATGACCCACCAAAATTATTGTTGAAAATATTGACAATAATTCTGCCGTGTGGGTGCACCATAGGCTATGTGTTGTTGCTTTTGAACTAAAGAATAGAAAGAATCGTAGGATTGATTTGAGCACGGTGAAACCAATGATATTATTGATGTTTTCCAATCGATAGAACTTTTTTTTTTTTTTTTTTTCCTTTGGTTTGTTTTTTCCGTCGATCTTGTTTTCCGTGCTGAGCACCAATGCTACCGACGTGCCAGGAAGGCAGCTCCCACACCTGGACCCTACCTATCGACTCATCAACTCATGAACCGGGGACCAACGGCTTTACTTCCCATCCGAAGGAAGGCGTGATCAGAGATGTTATGCCTCAGAACATCCCAGCGGCGCCGACTGGGATTGAACCCAGGCCTGCTGGGGTGAGAGGTAATCACGCTTACCACTACACCACCGGCGCCGTTAATCGATAGAACTGAAATAGGCGATTTCAACAAAGTAGCGCCCTACCCTATCACAAGTGATCTGAAAACCGAGGCTGGCCTTTAATTTTAATCTTTAGATCAGACCAATAACACAAGACTAAATTTAAAAAAAAAATGCTACCTGTCTACCTCCATTGCTGTTTACGGTTCTCTCTAAAAGTCACATCACCGTTAGATACGTTTGTAAATAACCCTTGACCGTATCCGTCATGCTCGTGGAACATTACAAATTCATGATCATGCTATTGGCCATAACTTCAGTCTTCGCCGCCCAAATTGTCAATCCCATAAAACCAAGTTCAAAACTTTTATGTGCGATATTCTTCCTATCGCAACACGTTGTCTATAAACTGTCATAGCACTTTTTCCGCATCATTGAAGCCGGTGTTAGACGCTGGGGCTGAACACGCGGAAAATTGTTTTCACCTTCTACATATTTTATTGCACCTGGCAGCTAAAATGACGCAACGAGGAATAAGAAAATGTCAATTTGATACCACCATAAAAAACGCGTTTTCTTCCTCGACGAAATGGGAAGTGTGGAAACAGCTTCACCGCTCTTATCGGCTCCAAAGGAACAGAACATCCACCTTCTCGGAACACGTGAACCCTGAAATGTGACACAGTTTCGTTTATGATGGCCTCTTGATGTGACTCTAATGGTGAATATCAAACGTTAGGAAATGCAATGTGCCTCTCAGCAATGATGGCAGTGGTAACATAATCATCGTTTGTTGACTGTCTTCACATACGTTCCGACGTTTATCCTGCTAGACGAAAACGACGACGATGACACGAACTTGGCGAACATATCGTTATCGTTAAGCACAAGGTAATTCTAGGTCCTTTAGTGGCTTCCATAGGACGACCAACGACGACGACGCCAACAGGGAGATAACCAGAAGGACCCATTCCGGTGAAGAAGGCGCTTTGATGTGACGTAAAGCGGGAAATTGTGGTACAAGTTGGTAGAAATCAGCCACATCTGGATATTGCAACTCAGCAAAAGATTCGATTCAGTAGTGATCCTTTTGAAAAGGATATCATTCCCCTCTTTGGAATTGAATTGCGATGCGGTGGAAGTAAGCGCTTACACAAACCACACATTCCATGACACTTTAACAATGTGCACTCCTCTCTATTGCAGCACACTGTCATTCCTCTCGATTGAACGAAATTGAAAATGACAATTCAGCCGAGGACATAAAATTTTATTGCCAATTGCAATAATAGCAAACACTGCACCGAGAAGGATGCTTCCACACTTGGCACCACCATCGCCACCAACGCGTGGTCAGTGCCGTCCTTTCGAAAGGGCATAAAGGGGGCCCACTATAAGATACGGAAGTATGGAAATTAAATACGTTTGACAAAGTCAAAAAACTAATGCTATCACAGAAGTTTGACAGTCAACTAGATAAAATCCATATGCATATAAAATCATCAGGGGCCCATAAAATATCTGCAATCTACATACGACTCTGCTCACGGTGACGTCTCTCGTTTGTTGTCCGTGTCCTTCAGCTGTATTTGAAACGAATCAGATGGAGACATTGGGAGAATTTGCCACACTGCTGGTTTGGCACTTGGCAGTCGTGATGTCCAGAATGGATTACGGAGATTTTTTGTTCAACATGACTCGATGCTTGACCGGCTAGGAAAGCTAGTAATATAAATTTATGGTAACACCATTTAATATTAAAATACAATATTGTCCGTTCACTTAGCTCTCCTGGTATAACCAACAGACCGCCATATGGTGCAAAAGTATGGTGCCTCTCGACCACTGCTGTCCGCTACTGTGGCAGCCTGTGTGCATGACCGACAAAGAGTCATTCGACGCAACCAGTAAAAAGTATTAAAAATTCACACAGAATGGCGTTTTAATAGATGGCTTTATTATGGTTAAACCATCCTGGCATAGTTCGTGTTTCCATAACTGTTTTTACAGCCCACAAAAAGGCAAACACACTCTCTCTCTCTCTCTCATCCCTGGTGTAGGCTTCAAACATGGAGCTCGAACTCCGCACACTACCAATACTAATAGCAACAATATGGTTCAATCTCACTCAACCCATTCTGTTGTTTCACTATTCCCACCCCATCTAGATGTTCCCGATATCGTGTGCCAGGAATATGCCGTACCGCACATGCAGGACCTGATACCGAAGATTCCCGGCGGGTACGTGAGCGTTCGGCTGACACCACCGACGCTGAACAATATCTTCCCGAAGCCTCCACCAGTGCCCCCACCGCCCGAGAAGTACTACGCCGCTACTGCCATCTGTAAATCATCCACCGCTCCCACGACGCCCTCGAACCAGCAGAACAATCACCAGCAACAACAGCAGCAGCAACTGAACGCTTACAGCGATCTGGATCACGGTGTCTCGGACGATGATTTACAGCTCAGCGAGTATCCCCGGGATAAGCTGGTGATAGTGGAAAAGCTTGGCTGCGGCGTATTCGGCGAGCTGCATCTCTGCGAAACCAAAGGATACAGGTGAGTGAGATGGGCTGTGGCTGCACCTAAACCAGGGAAAATATGTGCTACCGACGACGAGCGCCATTCTTTTGCTAGTGGAATACCATACGGTCGGCCGCCCCGGTGGTGCAGATAGCAAAGAATAGTAAATTATTATCCTTTCCAAGCATGAGTTCATAGCAACGGTTCAGTTTTGCACGGAAATTCCAGGAATTTGTGCAGATTTAATGGTTTCTAACGTGTTCCCTGAACCCCACAGTAGGGCCATTTTTAAAAAAAGAGGGTCAAAACCTTATATCACCTTTTTGTAACGTTTTAGAGGACCGGTGCCAAATTTAGGACGAAATGTGGAAATGTTACTCCGAATCTTTTGAAATAATCACCATAATTCTATTTTGCTAGTATTTCACATCAAAATTCTAACTTTATGAATTTTAAAGAAAACAAACTATGAAATTTAAGAAATTTTGCTTAAAACAACATATTTCTTCATCTTAAACCTAAAGAGATACAATTGGAGCTCTCTCAGGACTGCTTAAATTAACTAGTTTTTTAGTTTTTATTTTAGATATTAATATTTTATTCATTTGACTATTCCAATATATGCTAAGAAGGTCTAGATAACATTAAAATACATTATTTTTAGAAGACTCCAAACATTTTTACAAAAACAAAAATGGTTAGTGTCTTCGGAAAAAATTTAATATTATAATGTCATGTAAAACTTTCTAGCAGTTTCTTTTTCTTTGATCAATCTTATATGTGCTCGAAAGCATTATGAATTTTCAGAAGACAACAACCATTTTTGTTTTTGTAAAAAATGGTTGGTGGCTTCTGAAAAGTGATAAATTTTAATATTATCTTAAACTTTTGAGCACATATTATTGGTTTGGTCAAATATGAAAATGTGGTTATGTTTCTGAAAATTAAAACTTTTTAAATGTCAGAGATCATTATTTTGTTAAATAAAATAAAAATTCTGGCGACTATTTCAAAATATTCGGTATGACTTTTCAACATTTATTCGAAGACACCAAAACCTCAAAAAAGGTGAGTAAAGGTTTTGACCATAGTTTTTCAGAATGGCCCCGCTGTGTGTCCAAGCAACTTGGTGCATAACAAGGTCTGCAGTTGTTTGAATTTGAAGTTTTGAGTTTTGATTATTTTCAGTTATGGAATAACAGGCTTTTATGTATTGGTTCCACTATTGAATGATCACCGATTTGCTCATGTACCTCCGATTTGTGGAAACGGTTCTATCCCAAGCAGCAATATGGGTTTTATAAGGGTTCTGAAGACCATGATTTAGACTTGTGGAACACTTTAAAACCACAATAAAACTTGAAATGTTACTTAGGATCAATTGTTTCAAACTCTAGTCACCATCTGACTTAAACATCTAGTCAATAGGTTTGGAAACTGCAGCTATTATTGCCTCTGCCACTGTATGTGCTCCTGTCATCGTCAACTTAACGATCTCAATGATACACGGATAGGGGACGTTCTGCTACTGTACTGTAGGGACACACCCCTCACCACCCGTCCTCAACGGGGTAGTTTGGTAAAGGGGATGATCAACCCGATTCGTACATTCCTTAAAATTGTCCTTTGCTCGCTTTCTGCTCTCTATATACAATTTTTACACTGCCGTACTCTAACAGAACTATCAATTCCATACTTTCATCTCCTCATCTATCGTATAAAACGATCACTTTTAGTCTCATATTTGACGTTAAGCATCTCCAACTATGTAAATCGTTAACTTAACGCATGAAGTAATAAAAACATGATTAGTTGAAGTTTTCTTATTATGAAGATTATAACTCTATACGTTGAAGCCTTAATTTTAACTGAAACTTAATGCAAAATTAAGAAACCTATAGAACTTTTAATTAAAAGAATTTGAAGATTTTGAAAATTTTGAATTTTAAATGTTTAGTAGTTGGATTTGGAGATTGAACTTCGCAAAAATATACATTTGAAATATGGAGAAGAGGTAAACCAGCCCAAAGCAGAACGCCTTTTTACGTTTGCCAGTTACCTCAACAAACCGTTTGTGTTAAATTAGTTTGTAGTTTTTCACAACGCTTTTCGTGTCATCGTATCAACTAATCGCCACTGCATCGTCTGGAGTATAACTGCCTTAAGCCTCGGATAACGAATAATTTAGCTTAACTTAGACTTAGCTTAGACTAATGCCTGCACATATCAACTGTTGTTACTCTGTGATTGATCCAAACCAGTGAAATTTCACGATGAATCAACGGAATGACTGACTGGTACTTGCAATCAGGAGGGAATGTTAGAGCGTAATCTTGTTGTATATGAGACCGAATATACCTCTGCAACCCCACAAAGATCACGGGAGGCATATTTTGTTAGAGGATTCCGTTTGTATGATCAAAATTCACCTTGATAAGTGATGTGATTTGGGTTTTGATAGAACGTGTTGTTATGTTTCTGAAAAATTAAAATTATTTTCAAATAAATCAGTGTAATCATAAATACGTTAAAATATTTTTGGATGAAGGCTGAAAAAAGTAGAATTATTTAGAGCAATAGATCGAGCCTGAACGAAGACTGAAAGAAGTGAATGTAAAGATCTTCGATCATCGAAAAGCTTAAAATAAACTTAAATAATTTAAATCAGTTAATCCAGCCTTTTCCGAGATGAACCAGCCTGCGGCTAACAATCTCCTATATAAAGAGACAAAAAAAAATCCAGCCTAAACGAAGGTAAAACGAAGTGAATTTTGCAGTCCGCATCGTGCTCACTTGCCGTGTGGATCTATTTGCTTTTTGCTGAAGGAAGTGTTACTACTACCTAAAGCTACAACAAATTAAACAGCACTTTTCAGTGCTCAACCTGTAAAAATGTTCTACCTCGTTCAACTCTTATTCCTCTTCGATCCTTGTTTGGACCCTACCCGAGGTAATCCTTATTGGATATCGATTTGGAAAATTCCTCTTCGATCCTTCAGATTCTTATAGTAATCTGCTTGGAAGTCGATTTGGATAAAAATTTACTGCCGCCATGGCGCCAAAACGCAAAAGATAGTGGCAAACTCTTGATCCCCTTTCTGATGAAATTAATTTGAGTAATCAATTTGATTTGCTCACGGATGATGAGAATGATCCATCATCCAAGAAAAATTCTAGTAAACTTTCCCGGGTTTATGCCAAGAAGGAAAGATTCCCCCTATTGTGATAACCACTTCCGATTTCCATGCTATTCGCATGGAACTTTTGAATTTCGTGAAAGTTAAGTTTTCACTACAAATTGGACGTCGGGGTGAAGGCCGTGTATTGGCTGAAACCTTGGACGGATTTAAATGTCTTCTCAAGTATCTTACTGAGAAGAAGCACTAATGTTTTACTTATGACACCAAAACTGAACGTGTGTTCAAGGTTGTCATGAAAGGACTGCCCAGTGGTGAATCCCTGGATCAGATCAAAGATGAACTGGCAAAATTACTTGGAGTTGTGCCACTCCAAGTACTCAAAATGAAAATGAAATCCCGTCCTGGCGATTCGCGCAACGGGATTTATAATGATTTTTATTTAGTTCACTTCAAGTCTAGTGAACTAAACAACCTTAAGGCCTTAGAAAAAGCTAGCCTTATGCTCCATGTCCGAGTGAAGTGGGAACACTTCAGGAAGACTGGAGGAAATTTCCAAAACCTCACTCAGTGCCGTAAGTGCCAGGGATGGGGTCACGGAGCTAAAAATTGCTACATGCCAGTTAAATGCATGAATTGTGGTGATTCCTGTGGCTGTCCTGTGAAGGAAGATCCTAAGAAATTTAAATGTTCAAATTTTGGTGAAAACCACAACTCCAATTTTTGGGAATGTAAGATTCGCAAAGCGATCCTACAATCTCGTTCTAACCAACAGGTAGGAAACGCTCCACGTTTCCGACCAGGTACAAATTCCTCTGCTGTTAACAACGGACAACGAGGAACAAATTCTACATTCGTACCTGTAGGTACAAATATCACCACTGCTTCAAATTTTTCATCTGTACCTACTCCCCTCGTTGCTAACAATGTTCAGCGAGTTAATGGAGCTACCTATGCTGCTATTGCAGCGGGTAGAAATCAAAATACTAACCAACGTAATTCTAACGGAAATTTTGACAATTTTTACTTAGGAAGCATTACTGCCCCTAAAATGGAATTTTTACAGAAATCATTAACTGACATGATTTCTGATATGCTTAAATCTAACTCCATGTTTGATGCGATTCAAACTGGAGTGAAATTTGCAAACAATATTGTCATGACTTTAAAATTCGGTAATGGCTTTAAATATTTTAAATTGGAATGCTCGATCTCTTACAGATAATGAAGACGAGCTTTTTAACTTTTTGAGGGTTCATAACGTGCATATTGCCATTATAACTGAAACGTTCCTTAAACCTGACCATATCGTCTTGATGGACCCTGTGGTGGCGTTGCCATCATTGTTCATAGACGAATCAAACATAAAATTCTTTCTTCATTTGAAACCAAAGTTTTTGGAACTTTGGGAGTTTCTTTTGATACAACATTTGGACAACTTACGCTTATAGCTGCCTATTTGCCATTTAAAAGCGTAGGCCAACAAAAGAATTTTCTCAAGGGTGACCTTCAGAAACTTACCCTTCATAGGTCTAAATTCTTCATTATTGGTGATGTTAATGCAAAACACCGCTCATGGATTAATGCTCAAAGCAATTCCAATGGTAATATTCTGTTTGATGATTGTTCTGCAGGTTATTACACTATTCAATATCCAAACAGCCCAACATGCTTTTCTTCTGCAAGAAATCCCTCCACTATTGATTTGGTCTTAACTGATTCATGTCAACTTTGTAGCCAATTGGTTACTCATGCTGACTTTGGTTCTGATCACCTTCCAGTAACTTTTGAAATATCCCAAGTAATAATTTCTATTCCTAACAGCTCTACTATGGTAATTGAAATAGAGCTGATTGGGAGCAATATTGAACATTTATGGAATATAACTTCGATCCAAAC